AAATTACGCTTTGGGACTAAATTTGGATCATACCTCTATGACCTTGTTAAGAGACTGTATATTTTTTTTAATTTTTAATTTTTTTTTAAGATTTTATTTATTTATTTGACAGAGAGAGACACAGCAAGAGAGGGAACACAAGCAGGGGGAGTGAGAGAGGGAGAAGCAGGCTTCCTGCTGAGCAGGGAGCCCGATGTGGGGCTCGAACCCAAGACCCTGGGATCATGACCTGAGCCGAAGGCAGATACTTAACGACTGACCACCCAGGTGCCCCAAGAGACTGTATAAATACAGATCTATAGTCCCTTTTCTGAAACCTTAACAGACAGATGTGAATTAATTCAGATTTTTCAGATTTTTGAAAGGTAATATGGACATATACTGTATATTCTGTAACACTGTCAGTAGGTCTGGGGAAGTAGTCCAGAATCAAATATATTAAGAATTCTGTGGCAAAAATATATTCATATTCACACTAAAGTGAGATAAAGACCACAAATAGCTTTATGTCAAGTCAGGTCAGATTTTGCTTCCAAATGAGTTATCAAAAAAGTTTGGTTTTACGCAGTTATAGAAAAAAAAGAGTAAAATGAAATATTGTCATAAAATAGTAATATTTATCTTTAGAAATGCCTAAAATGTTCACCTGAAAAAAAAAACACATATTTGAAGATCATGAGAAATCCCAAAAAAACAATTTCCGCAATGCTTTTCATTTAGTCATATACAGAAAGAAGCTAATCCATCATAAATTCCATTTAAGAACACTACAAAAAATTAGCTACTAATACAAACTTAAAGATCACTTTGAAAACTCATTATTAGCAATGCATGGCAAGCTAAATGTATGAGTTTTAAAGCACATTCAAAAATTTGTTTCCTTTTTTGTTTCTGTGTGTGATTGGTATGTTCCCTTTCCCCTGCGCTATGGTTATGGGAGCATGTGTTGAAACGGCATCATCCTCAGCCCAGATCCCTTATGTGACTCTTTTGAGAACTGTCAACCCTCATTAGACATGTATAAGAAACAAACTTCTGTTGTGTTAAGACATTAGGACTTTGGGGTAGCCTATTCTAATTCACTATTTTTCTCACTACTTTCCTTCACCAACTAGAATTTTGGCTTATTCCCTCTAAATACTTTAAATTTCTCCAGTCCCCATCAATAATTTAAATCACCTATCACATTCCCACTTTGATTTCTTGTGAACTCTATTTTTTTTTTTTTAAAGATTTTATTTATTTATTTGAGAGAATGAGATAGAGAGAGCATGAGAGGGGGGAGGGTCCGAGGGAGAAGCAGACTCCCTGCTGAGCAGGGAGCCCGATGCGGGACTCGATCCCGGGACTCCAGGATCATGACCTGAGCCGAAGGCAGTGGCTTAACCAACTGAGCCACCCAGGCGCGCCTCTTGTGAACTCTATTAAAAATAAACCTCTTCATCCCCCTGTAAGCCATACTTCTATCTTCTCATTTACTTTTTTCTCAAAATGTTAGTATTACTATTACTGTAGCATAGGCTGCAATCCCATTAAGTACTGAGTTTTAAAGGAAATTCTATCCCCAGATGGAAAATACTCATAGCATGTTCCTCGATTTGCTACTTTACCCTAGACACCAGAACACACTTGCCTAGGTTTCTTTAACTTCTATTTGTTTATATAACCATGGAGCCTGGGAGGAAAAAGAAAAAGCTGATATTAGCCAAGATATGGACATTTTCTTATACAGAACATTGTTGATTTCCTCCCTTTGACAGAAAACATGAGGGTATAGCATCTGCCTTCCAGTGATTGACGCCTGATGTAGATAATAGGGAAGTGGCATACAAACTCTGCTCTGCAGTTGGAGCACATGTGAAGGTCCTGCAAGACCTGAAGATCTTGTCTTCTGAGAGGAGTGAAACTGATCTCTTAGACTTCATGGCAGAGTTCCTGAATAAACAGAACATGGACTATCTGGAATACCATCTTGGCAGTCAGAAGGAATTATAAGAGCTGGCCCAAAGGGAATCTGTTTGAAAAGCCTGCTAAAGTATCAGGTGAAGACAACGTCTGAAGGCAACACAGCAAGCCTCTCTCCATTGTAGTAGGTTCCAGTCAGCTGTGAAAGACTGCTCTCACTTTTATCTAGTATCCTAATCCTCATTGTTGTGCTTAAAAATAAATCTGCTTTGCAGGGGCGCCTCGGTGGCTCAGTCAATTGGGCGTCTGCCTTTCGCTCAGGTCGTGTTCCCTGGGGCCTGGGATTGAGCCCTGCATAGAGCTCTCTGCTCAGTCGGGAGCCTGTTTCTCCCTCTGCCTCTCCCTCTGCCTCTCCCTCTGCCTACTTGTGATCTGTCAAAAAAAATCTTTAAAAAAATTTTTAAAAAATAAATCTACCTTGCATTATAACAATAGCAGCAAAAAGGTCAATTAGCTTCACTTCTCTAACTGCACTTTAAGATTAGAAAAGGAAACAACAAAGATAAGCTCCTTTTCTTCCATCCCACAATTCTGAGGGGAAGCTGGGGAGGGGAGGGGCAGATGGTAGAATGGAGACTGAAGGTACACGATAAAACCTGAGGCCTGGTGGTTCACCATGGCTGCCACTGCTGACATATCCCTTCTACTCAGATAAGACTACTTCTCTAACTTCTGGTGTAGAAACCGATGGCAGCCCGCAACACTGTTACTTCAGTGGGTGCCACATACCCTGTTTGCCCATGATAGTCATAGTTTATACCTGTTACCCTTATGAAATTATTAATACTTCCTTTTCTCTCAAAATCATTACAGGTTGAATGAAAAATTATATGATCATCCTAGATACAAATCATTTCCATTCCAAAGGAAAGAATGGGATAAATCTGAATATTCTGCACTCAGTTCACAGATAGAAGAAAGGGAGCATCGACTTTGCTGCCATTTTCTTGTTTGCAAAGCTCAAACTGATTAGCTTCTTTTTCTTTTGAAGTGTCTGGTGTATGATTAATCTGAATGAAACATGAGAGCCTAGGAGGAGTTGAAATGGGCCATTCTGAAAATTACTCATATTAGTCTAGAAGCCACTCAGCAACACTGAAGATCTGAAGAATTATTTGTAAAACGATAAGGAAAGCCTGATCTGGAAGTTATAGGAGGCAACCAGAAAATATCTGAAGGAGTAAAAACTATCAAGTGTAAGGTATATGAGCAGCTGGAATGGCAGTTAATAAATGTAAAAACATGGACCACACAGCAATGCCTTTTAAATACATACCCCATTTACATTATTTTCCTATAATCCATATGAAGATTTTTATACAAAATGAAATCCAGTTTACTACCCCTGTTCCTATTTGTTCTTTATAGTCATTTTGACAAAACAAATCAAGAAAGCAGGAAATAGGTTCTTTTGGTACAGTCCATATGGTACAGGCAGGAGTGACAGCAACCCAAGAATATTCATAAAAAATAATTTAATGGTTAGGAACATGAATTCTGGAGCAAGACTGTCCAGGTTCAAAATTTAGCTCCACATCTTACTAGCTATGTGACCTTGGTTATTATTACACCACCTTTTCACCTGTTTTTCCAAGGTGCCCATGTTGCCTACAATGGCCTACAATTGCAGAAGGGCACTACTCACACAGAATCCTGGTTTTCCTTACCTACAGAAATGGAGGTAATTTGCAGGATCACACTTTTAAGAGTTGTAGTGCAGATATAAGAGTGAAATTTAGTCATGTACTTAGAATAGTACCTGGCAAACATTAACAAATATTACCTATTATTATTATATTATTACTATACTACTACTATCTTACCACTAGCATTTCTAAAGCAAACATCAGTACGGTCCCCTTTTTATTAACAGCTACAACAGGAGCCCTGTTGGTTAAATATATGACACCCAAGAATTGTGGGAGGTGAAGCTAAAAAGTCTGATAGACACATCAAGCCATCTTTCTGTTTTCATGTGCTCAAAGGACCTGAAAAAAAAATGGTTGGTTAGGAAATTTGCTTGAAAGTATCTATACAGATATGCTTTAGGAGCACCTATTTTTTTACATCTATAAATATAATGTATTATATTTAAAGCAAATATTTAGAACTGAAAAGGAAGTTATAAATCATAAGTTCTACTTTTTTTTACAAAGAAGGAAATAGATCAGTCTGACAGGTTGACAACTTGCCTCCACTTGAGTTCTTGATAGCACTAGACCCCTGGGATGAGAACCCCTGGACTTCTGACTCTCTCTAAAGCTTTTCCCACTTCCCCCACAGAAGCTTTCTCTTGCATTCTGACTGCTGAAAAGTAACTCAATCCACTTCATTTAATATTTATTTACCATTCAATTTACAGCTCTGTAAGGGGAGAAATATATCAGAAAAAAAAGTACAATTTTCTCTTTCTGAAAATTCTGAATGATTCTACTTTGCCCCAAGGGATAGCAAAAGGCACAAAAACATATGTGTACAAACACACACAAAAGCACTATCTTTAAAGTTAAAAAATACTAAAGTATTTAGAAATGATAGGGTCTAGGGTGAAAGGGTGAAGACACGTGAAAAGTAATTTATGCCAATTGTTTCTTTCCTTGAATTAGCACTTATCTTGGGTTTGATACCCAACTGCACTCATATTGGAAACTTAGTGTAAACTACCTAGTGATTCCACTTGGAAGTTACAACCCATGTATGAGTAAGATGTTCTGAATATAAGCCTATGAAAAACTTTAGGAACTCTTGATGTCTTTCCTTTTACATAAATTCTATCTCAATCTGATGTACTTTGGGTGATCAAAAAAACTAAAGGCTAAGAACAGAAAGCTAACTTCTTTAAATGAGACAAACGGAGAAGTTTTTCCAACTACCACTATAAGAAATTTTTTCTTTCAAGAAAGAAATTTTTCTTCCAAATACCAAATCAATTTCCTCAACTGTACAGCTATAACTTGATGGTTTTTACTCTTACTACTTCACTTTTAAATTTGTCTAAACAATAATAATAATAAAGTATCTTTCCTGTTTTTTTTCAAGATAAAAATCATTAAATGATGTGTTGAAGATGCCACTATAAATACTTAACATTTTGGTTATGGCTTCTGCATTGAAAATCTATAGGAATTTTTCCAATTAACTTTCAAATCTTTCCACAACCTCTCTGTAAAAAACAAACAACAAACAACAAAAAAAACTCCCAACAACAAAATCTTTAAGATAGCTTAAATGAATGCTTTACATATCAAAAATGGATTCACAAGTCCCTATTACCATAGTATCAATTTTAAGAAGTGTCCTAAATATGGTCTGTATTAGTTTTTTTGATTATGTCAATAATATAGAAACATTTTTAATATAACAGAACATTTAATTACATCCCTTTCCCATGAACACACTAGTCATTCAATGATGATTATATTGGCCACTTCCACTGGTTGGCAGGAGGCTCTTCCACTAAAGGCTCCCATGGTTTCCACTGTAACATTTTTCTGGCCAGACTTAGTTCATTTTCAGCCTGTTAATAAAAATTTTTAAAAGATCATTTGATTACACTGTTCAACAGGTATTTATCATAGCTAATGACTGAAATATAATTATTAGAACTATTGTCAACATATTAATACCTAATAAACCGTTCCACCATCAAATGTTGAACATTATTAATAAAATTATCTTAATTTTCATAGCTACATAATCATGAGTAAGAAAGGATGGCTTTTGATTTTTTCTATTTGATTAAAATTTGCTATGAGAGTGTTCAAAAGTTTACTTGGTGAATTTTTAATCTTAATTGTCTGTTTCACCATTAGACTACAAATTCTTTGAGAATGAGAAGTATGTCTCTTCATCTATGTTTTATCATGGGCCACAGTAAAACACAACAAACAAATTCTACTAAAGGATCCATAATATACATATAAAAGTAAAACAAAACTAAAAATATCATTACCTTTACTAGCTATGATACATTATTTTCTATTATTTTTTTACTTGCTAGTCACAACCCATCTGATTTCTTGACCCATAATCACTTAAGACCCACAGTTTGTAAAACAGTGATCTATGGAGTGTAGAATATCATAGGTGCACAAAAATTATTTATTGATTGAATTAATTTCCTTAGTCAATTATTTTCCATTTGCTTGTTTCCCTTCAAGCAAATTTATAACATATTTAACAAATATTTTATGTATCTTTTTATTTCACATTTTTATACAAGAAAAAGACCTATGACAACTCTAGCCAACTTAGAAGAACACTGTTAAACACTTGTCAGGATGTCAGAGAAGGAATTCAAATACAGAGTAAGTGCCAAATAAGTGCAATGCCTCATTTATGCCAGTGGGGCAAAACAGCCAATCTATGTTTAGCAGCAAGTCTAAAATGTATACAAACAATGAGTTAAAAAGTAGATTAATAGAAATCTGAGGGTAGAGGGATTTACTAATGCTGAAATGAGAAAACAGCATAAATACTAACTAAAAATATCCCTAAAGATGGCTGTTTCCCTGATGGCCCTTTGGCCTGGGTCTCTTGACCATTCATGCTTTCTTTAAGCCCCCAAGGCATTATGTAGTGTGGGGGCCTGAACATCACCGAGGTCAACCCCAATTCAGGTAGCTGACCCAGCTGCATGAGACCCCTGTTGCCTACTCCTACTCTCTTCCTTGGCTTTTTTTTTTTTTTTTTTAAGATTTTATTTATTTATTTTTGACAGAGACACAGCGAGAGAGGGATCACAAGCAGGGGGAGAGGGCAAGGGAGAAGCAGGCCTCCCACCGAGCAGGGAGCCTAACGCGGGGCTCGATCCCAGGACCCTGGAATCATGACCTGAGCCAAAGGCAGATGCTCAACTGACTGAGCCACCAGGTGCCCCCTCTTCCTTGGCTTCTAACACACTACCCTTTCCTTATTTCTCTCATACTACCCCTCTAGAAATGGGCTATCCAAAATGGTAGCTACTACCTACATGTGACTACTGAGTAGGCATTTGAAATGCAGCTAGTTCAAGTTCAGATGTGCTGCAAGTATAAAATACACAAAAGATTTTAAAGACTTAGTATAAAAAAAGAATATAAAATATGTCAATATTTTAATATTGATACGTTTCAGTATTTTAAATATATTAGGTAAAATAAAACATTATTAAAATTTAACTTTAATACTGCCCATGAAAATGTGGAGAATGGCACAGCTGACATAAAAATACCTATTGTACCCTGAGACTGTAATTGCATGATAAATTAATGTATAAGTTAAACTAAAGTCATGATCAAAGTGAGATCTGACAGAAAAGAAAGAACAGGAAAAGGACAATAATAAGTTAGTAGCAAGTTCCCATATGGTACAACAAACAGTTGGCCAATGAATAGAAGGCCAGGAAAATAGGCCTTTGAATGATTGAAATAGTCTACATTCATAAAAAGCTGTCTGAATGTCCTATTCCTCTTTTAACAAAGCCATCTAACAATTCTTCTGAATTTGTGTATCATGTCTATTGGTGATATACCTCCCTAATCACCCATACTACCCAATATTTCCTTTTGTCCTTTAATAAAACTCAAGAAGAAATGGTTGTATTTTTTTAAAATACAAAAAATGTACAAATTAAATGAAACGAATATCAGATGGCTTCTAAGGGTAGACATCTAAACCTGTAATATTGGGGCAGGGAGAGGGGGTCTGAAGTGGTGGGGCAAAGGGGGAGGGTGATTTGACCAAATAAAAATTTTAAAAATCTCTACATGAGAGAAAATACTGAGTTGAAGTCAAAAGGCAAAGAAGAGACGGAAAAAATGTGCAAATATAGCAAAATTTAAGGTTAATATCTCTTTTATTTTAAAAAACACTCAAAGAAATATAGAAGAAAAACACTAAAAACAAATGATAGAGTAAAACCATTAATGATATAATTTATAAAACACAAAATACAAGAACATATTTTAAGTTTAACCTTACTAGTAATTGAGGAAAAAATGCACAACTTAAAAAGAAAAAGGCATAGATGTGTTAATCAAAGTCAAAAATAAAAATACATTTTAACTTTATGATTTTATGATTCAAAAAATCTGTATTTCTCCATATTCAAAATATACTAAGCCTTTAAAACATAAAAGTATGTATCTAAAAAGATAAAATTATTCAAGTAAGAGTAATACTGTGTTACTAGTTTGAACTAAAGGCTAACAAGACCATGCTGATTAAATTCAGTGTATCCAACTCCAAATTTCCAAAAGAAGCCTCATAAATTCAAGTTATAATTATTGATAAATATTTAATTGACATATACATGATAGAAATATTTCCTATATGTGATTATTCTTATATTTCAGAGTTGATATAAAGAAATTTAGTTTTTCCTTTTTTCTGGAATGTCAGTTTTGTGTCTCCAAGTATTGTGCCTCTGACCATTTAAAAAGCCAAACATCTAAATATTCAACTTTTTCTTTACCTGAAGAATCACCTCTTCTAGTTGGCCACCCTGAAGTTGGTCTTCTAATTTCTTAACATCTGGTTCCTGTAATTTAAGGGAAAAAAAGAAAAAAAGATTTAAGGAAAGGAGCACAATATCTGAATGTTTTAATATCCTAATTAAAAAGACCCAAATATAAAATAGCACTTACTATAGCAAACATAATTAGTTTTTCTTTCATTAAACCCTTACTAATGTTTGCCAAATATCTGGTGGAAACCCGTTTAATCTCTCTATTTTATTGCTTTTCTGCCTTAATATTAACTTGCATATCAAGAGTAAGAAATATGATGTCCAACTCGGTCTTTCTAAAACACAGATTTTAAAATACCACTTTATTTTTTTAGTATTTCCTATATTTCGTCTGAGAACATTAGTATTCGAAATAAATGCTATCCTATGACCCAGAATTCCACTCCTAGGTATATACCAAACAGAAATGTATAATACATTAAGCAAATGGCATGTCCAAGAATGTTCACAGCAGCACAAATTATAACCCCAAACTAGAAATAATTCAAATAATCATATATAGAATTAATAAATAAATTATAGTATTTGGATATAACAGAATACTACATAGCAATGAGAAAATACGAATTACAACTGTAAGTAAAAACATAGATGATTCTCTCACACATAATACTAAAATAAAGAAACCACACACAAAATAGCACAGACTGATGATTCCATTTATAAAAAGTTAAAAACCAGGTGAAATGTATCTGTGGTGACAGAGGTCAGAAGAGTAGTTATCTTTAGGAGGGTAGTAACTTGGAGGGAAGAAAGAGAGGGTTTGGGCATTCTGGAAATGTCCTCTTTTTGATTTGGTGTTAACATGGGTGTGATTACTTTGTGAAAATTCATCAAACTCTACACTTATGATTTCTGCACATTTTAGTACATTATTCTTCAATAAGAGGTTTTTTAAAAAAGAAATGCTAGGGCGCCTGGGTGGCTCAGTCGTTAAGCATCTGCCTTCAGCTCAGGTCATGCTCTCAGGGTCCTGGGATCAAGCCCCACATCGGGCTCCCTGCTCCAAGGGAAGCCTGCTTCACCCTCTCCCACTCCCCCTGCTTGTGTTCCCTCTCTTGCTGTGTCTCTGTCAAATTAATAAATAAAAATCTTTAATAAAAAAAAGAAATGCTAATATGGTACCTAGAAAATACAATGACATGTATTTATTGCTAGTAAACTGAGCTTTGTGAGATCCAGAAACCATGTTCTATACATACTTACACTTACATAAGTAAGGTGTAAATAGGATGGTTTTTTGGCCCACAAATGGAATGAAAAGAGGGAGAAAAAAAACAAAGCTATTTTCTACAGGAACTGGCATGTTTCTGCTTCTGGGCATCTGCTGGCTGACCACGGATATCTGCATGGCTTGTTCCTTCACTTCCATCCGAGTTTTTGCTCATATATTACTTTCTCGGTGAGGCCCAGTCTGATAATAATTTATATTGTGGTAGGCTAAATAATGCCCCACAAAATGTAATGACCTAATCCATAAAACCTATGAATGTTACCTTGTGTGGCAAATACTTTGCAGATGTAATTAAGAATTTTGAGACAGAGAGATTATCCTAAATTCTCCAAGTGGGCCCTAGCAATTACAGGTGTCCTTCTAAGACAGAGGCAGAGGGAAATTATGCATAGAAGAGAAAGTAATGGGAGGGCGCCTGGGTGGCTCAGTTGGTTAAGCGACTGCCTTCGGCTCAGGTCATGATCCTGGAGTCCCGGGATCGAGTCCCACATCGGGCTCCCTGCTCAGCGGGGAGTCTGCTTCTCCCTCTGACCCTCCCCCCTCTCATGCTCTCTCTCTCTCTCTCATTCTCTCTCTCAAATAAATAAATAAATAAACTCTTTAAAAAAAGAGAGAGAGAAGAGAAAGTAATGTGACCACAGAGGCAGAGATTAGAATGATGTGGTCATAAGCCAAAAAATACTGAAAGCCACCAGAGCTGGAAGAGTCAAGGAACAGGGTCTACCCTAGAACCTCTAAATGGAATGCAGTCTTGTCAACACCTTGATTTGGGCCCTTGGTACTAATTTTAGAATTTTGGCTTCCAGAAATGTAAAAGAATAAATTTCCATTGTTTTCAGCCACCAAGTTTAGAACAGGCAGAGGAAGCAAAACGTATTATAACATCCCTCATCACCCGGATACACATCATTCTCTTTTCATTTTCCTTCACTGCATTTAACTGCTTTCTAACATGCTATGTAATGTACTTCTTTATTTACTTACTTACTTCTTTGCCTCCCACCATTAATGTATAATCTCCAAGAAGGCAGGGATTTTTATCCGTTTTGTTCATTATCATATAGGCACTGGCTTCCATGCCTACAACCATACATGGCATATAACAGGCATTCAGTTGTTTCTTGAATAGATGAAAATAGTTGGAAAAGAAGAGGGAGGAAAGCAGAGGAACATGTTTGAGAAAGACTGTCTAACTCAGAATTAACTGAGCTTTAAAGCCAAACTTCAAAAGCAAAACTGGAAAGGTGGTCATTGTTAAGAGACCCAGGAGAGTGAAGAAAAGAAAGCAAGGAAGGTTCATTATTTTCAACTCAAGAGAATCTTGTGCTAGGAAAACAACTCAAAATTTGTCTTAGTAAAGGTAAGTTAATAATATGACCTCTATTTATCAGTGGCACAATGTAATTAAGCTTAATAAGCTACCGTGTTCTGATCACACGTGCTTGCCACTATGTTAAGCACTGTACATATATTACCTCATTCAGTCCTAACAATAAGTATTCAGGTAGGTATTATAATACCCAAATTTTAGATGAGGAAACTGAGATAGAGAAATGGGTAATATGCCAATAGTCACTCAGCAAATAAGGATTAGAGCTGAGATGAAAATTTTGGACAGGCCACAAACCAATACTTTTCACCAATATTCTATCTCCCTAGTATAATATGAAAAAATATTTATTTTTATTTCCATTTTTGGCTTAGTAAGTAGATACTTTAAAATAATAACAATATTTACTAAAGACTTTGTGTAAGACTCGACTGCGGGTTAAAAATCTGTAATAATTTTACCAAAAATAGGAATCAGTGATACAACTATTATGCAGTGCTTGGGATTGTTAAACACTATTTGTATGTAGCCTTCTAGATAAACAAACATTTCTAGGGGACCTTATATAAGCACCAGGTACCATGTTAGATTCTTGGGATACAAAGATGAATGGAAACATCAATCATAAGTAGCTTATGGACTAGTAGAGAGGACATAAATAAAATACAGTGTGACAGGTACAATGGGAAAAAAGCAAGGAAATTGTCAATCTCTACTTGGGGAGATAAGAAAAGGTTTCACGGAGGAAGAAGTAACGGATCTTGAGGCCCGTGTAAGAACTGCCAGAAAGACAAGGTAAGGGCATTCCAGGAAGGGGGAAGAGAAAACACAAAGAAACACAAAAATAAAACTGCATGTAATTCACATAACTATCAGCTGTTTGGTATTGCTGAAGTATAGGGTACGAAATGGAAATGACAACGTAAGACTGAGAAGATAACCCAGAGTCAGATCTTGGGGCGCCTTCCATACCATGCTAAGGACTTTATCCTGGAAGCCAGTGGTTCCCAACCCTGGCTGTACATCAAAGACTTGCAGATAAAAGTAGTTAGGTGAGTTTCATACAATTAACTCAGCAAACATTCTTAAACTCGGCCTCTGAGAAACACTAACCAATAAACCACAGGAAGGTTTTTAACCAGGAAGAACCTGGATCAGATTTATATATTGAAAAAAAAAATCACTCTATTGGCAGTGTGGGGCATATAATGAAGTATGATGGAACTACACACAGACCAATAAGTTACAACGCAATCAGAAGAGCCGAAGTCAGAGAAAACTATTTTAGAACCAATAAGTGAAAGTAATGACAGTAAACTATTCTTTGGTTGACACTGGCTAAGACAGAAAAGAAAAATAGGGCAAAAATAAAGGAAGATATAAAGATAACAGTTTTCAAGACAGGAATAAGTTAAATACATTTTGAGGCTATCTGAAAGATAAGATCAGAGGCTAAAAAGAGAAATAGAGAAAAACAATTAAAGTGGAATAAGGTTATGGAGAAGGAAAGCAGAGAAACACTCAGAGTTGAAGAGCTTCACCTCATGAAAGAGAAATTTTTTACTCTGTGATGGGAAAAAATTCATAAGCCCACTTACCTTAAGGAAAACATGAAATCAAAAGAAATGTTCAACTTCCCCTTAGAGACTTTAATCTGTAAGTCACTTTCAGAATTGCCAAGCTAAGAATAAAAGTTCTAAATCAAATTGCATTGTTTTGCTGCATACCTAGGGAAAAATAATTATTCTTTTTGGGCTAGGGTTTGGTAACATAATAAGAAGAAAAATATATTAGAGCCACTTACTACATACATGTAATTACTTTTAGAGTTTATGAACATTTTTGGATAATTACAAAAGTCTGTGAAATAACTGCTGGTGTGAAAATTTAATAATTTAAAAATTTAATTGCACAAGAGTGCAATATAGTTTGGTATAAAAGAACTAGCAGCAGTCTATGGTGTGTCTGGCTAGGGCCTTTGATTTAAAACCTGTAAAATGCTTGTATTAGTCTGCTAGGGTTGCCAACAAAATACCATAGACTGTGTGGCTTCAACAACAGAAATTTATTTTCTCACAGCTCTGGAGCCTGTTAGTCCAAGATCAAGGTCCAACAGGGTCAGTTTCTGATGAGAGTTTTCTTTCTGGCTTGCATATAGTTACCTTCTCATTGTGTCCTCCTCACATGGCTGTCTCTTCTCCTAAGAACACTAATCCTACTGAATCAGGGTGCCAATCTTATGACCTCATTAACCTTAATTACTTCTATAGATGTTCCACCCATACTGGGGGGATTAGAGCTTCAACATATGAATCTGGGGAGGGAGGGGGGGTAAATACAGTCAGTCCATAACAATGTTTGATACAATTTTTGGTAATTAAGACACTGACTTGGTCCTCTTTGCAACAAAGCACTTTCTAAAATACTTATTTCTGAGAATTTTTTTTTAAACACAACAGACATTTTTTGTTTTGCTTTCATTCTTCTCTACTCTGAAACTAAAGAAAAGAGGTAAGGATTGATGTATCTATAGAAAGTCAATAACCAACAAAGACTTGATAGGGAAGAGAGGTAAAAGAACAATGTGAACTTAGAGACTTGATGTTATTCTTTCACTCTGGTATTTAACAGTGGCTTGCACACGGAAAGCACTTAGCAAACAGGAGTTTGCTGAATGAAGGGAAAAAGGATGGAAGGAAAGCACAGAAGAAAGAAGAGAGGAAAACATGTAAAATATGCAAAAAATAAGCAACTGAACTTTTTTGTTAATATTGCATTGAAACCATAAATCCAAATCAAGACAGCTACTTACCGCTTTAACCATACTCAGCTTCTCATTTGTAATCTGTTCTGTATACTTTCTATATGCTGCGTTTTTAGGAATTTGCTCAAGAACATCAAGAATCTTTGTGTACAATATTCTTAGCCTCTGAAAAGACAAATCATATACATTTCCAATTTAAAATATCATCAAAGATTCAAGAGAACACTTTTAAAGTCTCACAAATTACAAAAAAAAAAAAAAAGACTCACATCTGTTTTTTAAAATGCATTTAACTCTTTCTTGTTGCAATTTCTTCATGTCTATGCCCTATCCATCACCTTTATAAATGAGGAAAAATGTGAGTACAGTTGACCCTTGGACAACGCTGGGGTTAGGGAGCCAATCCCTGGCAGGGTTGAAAATCCACGTATAACCTATGACTCCCCCAAAGCTTAACTACTAATAGCTTACTGTTGACTGGAAGCCTGACCAATAACATAAACAGTTGGTTAACACATATTTCATATGTTGTATGTATCACATATATTCTTACAATAAAGTAAGCTAGGGAAAAGAAAATGTTATTAAGAAAATCATAAGGAGGGCGCCTGAGTGGCTCAGTTGGTTAAGCGACTGCCTTCGGCTCAGGTCATGATCCTGGAGTCCCGGGATCGAGTCCCGCATCGGGCTCCCTGACCCTCTTCCCTCTCGTGCTATCTCTCATTCTCTCTCTCTCAAATAAATAAATAAAATCTTTAAAAAAAAAAAAAAAAGAAAATCATAAGGAAAATATACTTACAGCACTGTACTGTATTCATTGAAAAAAATCTGTATATAAGTGGACTCATGCAGTTCAAACTGTGTATAAGCCAAAGGTATGATAAGAAGTAAAACTAAAACTGCATTCTAACTTATTGCTAATGATGGTGAGCGCTGTGAATTGTGCAAGACTGTTGAATCACAGATCTGTACCTCTGAAACAAATAATACATTATATGTTAAAAAAAAAAAGAAGAAGATAGCAGGAGGGGAAGAATGAAGGGGGGGAATCGGAGGGGGAGATGAACCATGAGAGACGATGGACTCTGAAAAACAAACTGAGGGTTCTAGAGAGAAGGGGGGTGGGGGGATGGGTTAGCCTGGTGATGGGTATTAAAGAAGGCACGTACTGAATGGAGCACTGGGTGTTATATGCAAACAATGAATCATGGAACACTACATCAAAAACTAATGATGTAATGTATGGTGATTAACATAACGTAATAATAAAAATAAATAAAATAAAAATCAACTCATTTTGGGGCGCCTGGGTGGCTCAGTCATTAAGCGTCTGCCTTTGGCTCAGGTCATGATCCCAGGGATTGAGCCCCACATCGGGCTCCCTGCTCAGCGGGAAGCCTGCTTCTCCCTCTCCCACTCCCCCTGCTTGTGTTCCCTCTCTCGCTGTGTCTCTCTCTGTCAAATAAATAAAATCTTTAAAAAAATAAAAAAAACCAACTCATTTATTAAATCATTATTTCTCAAATTGATATCCTAAGCACTACAAATTCAGATTTTTTCAATTTTTCTTATTTGAATTTCTGTAGAAGTAAAACATACAAACAATGATTATAAAGGATGATCAAACTTAACTAAATATAGTCATAATACTTCAGCTTATGATGACTGAGTTGGTATCATGTGAATGAAGGTTTCACCACAGGCTTAAGAGAAAAGGAACACGAGAATGGAGTCACCGTATAGCCTGTATTAAAGCACACTGAACTTCAAGTTCACATACAGCAGTCAGTAGTAAAGTCACATGGTAAGAAGCTGTTATAGCAGATCCTAACTCACAAGTGTTCATAAGTAGTAAGTATAGTCATAAATATACATACATGATAAAGAACTTATTATTTGTATTTAATTTGAAACTTGTTTTAGTTTAATTGTACAAAATCCATAGGTGTTAATACCTAGTTTCATTCATTTATATTCACAATATACATACGAATAAGCAAATAAATCTTCAGAGCCTCTAAGAATTGCTTTTCCTAAAAAGTAATCTGCATATTTAGACATTATTTATATATTTGAATACAATGTTCCATAAGAGGGTATTTTAACTATACTAATGTAGACATTATTGGGTAACACATAATCTGAATTATATGTGGGTTTTTTAGCCTCATTTCTTTTTTTTTTTAAGATTTTATTTATTTATTTGACAGAGAGAGAGAGATAGCGAGAGCAGCAACACAAGCAGGGGGAGTGGGAGAGTGAGAAGCTGGCTTCCCGTGGATCAGGGAGCCCGACGTGGGGCTCAATCCCAGGACCCTGGGATCATGACCTGAGCCGAAGGCAGACACTTAACAACTAAGCCACCCAGGCGCCCCTAGCCTCGTTTCTTCTTCTTTTTTAATTTTTTTTAAAGATTTTTATTTATTTACTTGACAGAGAGAGACACAGCGGAGAGAGGGAACACAAGCAGGGGGAGTGGGAGAGGGAGAACAGGAAGGGAGCCCGATGCGGGGCTCGATCCCAGAACCCTGGGATCATGACCTGAGCGGAAGGCAGACGCTTAACGACTGAGCCACCCAGGTGCCCTGACTCATTTCTTCTTAATTTTAGCAAAGGATATGGCAATAGAAAGGTCAGGTTAAGAGACTTGGGTTCTGGGGCGCCTGGGTGGCTCAGTTGGTTAAGCGACTGCCTTCAGCTCGGGCCATGATCCTGGAGTCCCGGGATCGAGTCCCACATCGGGCTCCCTGCTCAGCGGGGGTTCTGCTTCTCCCTCTGACCCTCTTCCCTCTCATGCTCTCTGTCTCTCATTCTCTCTCTCTCAAATAAATAAATAAAATCTTAAAAAAAAAAAAAAAAAGAGACTTGGGTTCTAAAATGGAGATGTTAATAATATCTGCTTCACAGGTTGTTGTAGAACTTATAACAGTATCTGGCACACATTAACTTTCAATAAATGTTAGTATCATTCTATTGGAGGGAGTCACTTCAGCAGGTATCAGAGAAAGTTTCAAGAAAAAGAACTATCTGAGATAGACCTGGAGGAATGGTAGGACTTGGATGCTTAAAGACGTAGGAAAAGACAATTTTATACATGGAATACACACATAGGATTGAATGGCAAAAATAAAAGGAACATAAAGCCATCAGTATATAGTTCTATTTTCCTTAAACTGTGCTGTTCAATAGCCACTGACCAAATATGGCTATTGAGCACTTGAAATGTGACTAGTCTGAACTAAGAGTGTTATAAATGTAAATATACAGTGGATTTTGAAAATCTAGTATAAAAAAGAGTATAATATATTAATTTTTATATTGATTATATTGTGAAATGGTAATATTTTATTAAAATAAATAAAACATATTAATATATTTTAAATATATTACATAAAATATATTATTAGTTTTTACCTTTTCTGTATTAAAAAAGTGAGTCCTAGAAAATCTAAAATTACAAACATGGTTTACATTTATAACCCACATTATACTTTTATTGGACAGCATGTGGCTAGAATATAGAATACACAAGAAATGTCTAGGAGATAAGGTTAGAGAAAGAGTCAGACTGTAAGTGGTTTTGTGTGCCAAGTTAGAGCATTTGAGATTATTCTGTGGGCAAATAAAGATGTAGGGAAATTGCATGATTAGATTTGTGTTTCAGGAAAATTAACCAGGTAGTAGTGACTTAAAGGACTAGATGGAAGTGAAAAAGGCAGAAAGGCCCGTAACAAAGTTGCTGCAATTCTCTAAACAATAGCAGGGGACGAAAATGTGGTAACGGGCAGAAAAGGAAAGACGTCAGACTGGAGAGCTGTTACAGAAAAGGATCAAGAGAACTTGTCACTGGAATTAACATGAAGATACAGGGGAAAGAGAAATATCAACTGTGATGTTCAGCTGCCAGCCTAGGGAGTAGAAAGACTCTGATACCATCAGGAAAAATAGAGTCCACAGTAAAAGAAATAGATTTAGAAAGGGAAAACCAGGAGTTGCGTCTTATACAATAATGAGTCATTATGAACTCATAAGAAGTACACAACATTCATTCAACAAACCTTGTATTTGCTGAGCACATACCATGTGCTGGTTATTGTTCTAGCAGTGAACAAAATAATAAAAAATCCCTGCCTTCATGAAAACCTATCTTCTAATAGAGAGAGTAAATGATTAAAATAAATTAGTAGCATACAGTGTGCTGAATAGTTATCTGGAGGGCCTTTGTTAGGACTCTTCTATTCAAAGTGAAATCAAAAGCCAGTGGAGAGTTTTGCGGAGTGACATGACCAGACTCACATTTGTCAGGCTGACTCTAGCTTGGTTGAAGAAAGACCAAACTGAAGAAGTGACAAGGAAGGAGAGGCAGTTAGGAAGCAAATGCAATTATCTACAGCTTAATGATGGTTGCTGAGAACATGGTAGTAGCAGAGGAGATGGTGAGAAGTACTCAAAATCTGGATATATGTTAAAAGTAGAAACCTAGAGGATTTAATGAAGTACTAAATGTGGGGTGTGAGCAAAAGAGAGAAATTAAACATGAACTCAAAGTTTTTGACCTGAGTGAACACAAGAATGGAACTGCCATTCATTGAGGTGAGCAAGCCTGAAAAAAGAGCAGGTTTTAGGCAGAAGAACAGGAACTCAATTTGGACATTAAGTCTGGGTTGCCTGTCTGACATTCAAGTGGAGATATCACTAAGCAATTAAATACAGAAGACTCTCATAAAGAGAGGTCAGGGCTTGGCACAGAAATCTAACAGTTATCAGTGTACAGATGGTATTTAAAACCACTAGACTGGAGCACCTGGGTGGCTCAGTCATTAAGCGTCTGCCTTTGGCTCAGGTCATGATCCCAGGGTCCTGGGATCGAGCCCCACATCGGGCTCCCTGCTCAGCGGGAAGCCTGCTTCTCCCTCTCCCACTCCCCCTGCTTGTGTTCCCTCTCTCGCTGTGTCTCTCTCTGTCAAATAAATAAAATCTTAAAAAAAAAAAAAAAAGAGCAGTTCTAGCCAAGTCTGAGTGGAGTGAGTTCAAAGGGGAGTAAGAGAAATTGGAGACAGTTAAATACAGATAACTCGAGTTATCTATAAAGGGGAGGAGAGAAATGGTGTGATTATTGAAGGGAAAAAAGGGATCGAGGGAGGAGGTTTTTGAAGTTTTTTTAGATGGAAGCATTCCCACTAAAAGGGAAAACTGATGACATAGGGGGTTAATTGCTAGAGCGATATATTCGGTAAGCCAAAGTGTATTGGAATCTAAGGCAGCTAGGCAGAAAATGTGAGGCGGGGTTTTAAAGGTGGAAAATGGAGATATAGGTATGGGAGGGCATTCATTAAAGTACAAGTGAAGCCACGAGAAGGCTACGGAAAAACTGAACAAGAAAAGCGGCTTAAGAACGCGGTCGTGGCACACGCACGCACGCACACAAACACACGGCACCGATCAAAGCATACTGTTCTTGTCTCAAGACAGCTCTCAGGCTGAGCTGTAATTTCACGCTTGAAATATCCGCATCCCCTTAGCCTTTCAAACAAGGTCACAGGGTTCTAGGCGTCCTTGGGAAGTCAGGAAATGAAGCAGCACGTACCTCGTGTGGACTTTCACATACAGCTAATCCCACAAGGCCGGTGGTCTGTTCAAAAACAAGACACGATTCACGCTGTTTATTCCGCGCGCCCACCACACTAAGGAAAGGCAAAACCACCAGTCCCCTGGCTAAAACTGGCCTAAAAGCAGCTATCGGTCTCCCAGAGCCACTAGTTTGGGGCGTTTTTTCTGCCTCTCCGAGCGGACCTACCAAATCTGTCATCCCTGAGGGCACAGCAGAATAGGTCCCCCAAAACACCGGCAAGCCCGCGCTGGTTGCGGCCACCACCCGCGGGATGAGGGGCTTTCGGGCTGACTCTACCCCCACGGTCTAAACACTAACAGTGACCTCCATTCACCTTACCTTCTTCAGCAAACCCGCCATGACGGCGCCGACAGGACGGGGACGCGCAGTCCTCTGGGAACCTCGCTCAGACCCGCTCAATCCACCACCGAGGCCGCCACACCGTCACCTTGGAAACAGCTTCGTTCGGCTGGGCTCAGGATTTCCACCCAGGCAAAGGCTGCGCCCCGCCCATTTCTAAGGGGAAAATGGACGCATGCGCAACGAGTACGCAAGCGTCTAAAGCAGACGGTGGAGGAAGCTGTTTTACGTCTCGGTTCTTGCTCTTACTACCGTTGACGGCTTGCCCAAAGTTTGAGGGAAACACTCCAAATTTCCAAAAAGCTCCGACAGAACCTGCACTCGGCTTAACCTTTGGCGAATTCCTCAACCTCCCTTCCATAGTGTAGTGTGTAGTAAAATGAGAGTAGTTCTCTGGCGCTATCATCTAAGTGGTCTCATGGCAGCAAAGGTTAATACATAGCGCAAGCATATCGGTATTCTCAGTCTAATGCACCAAAGTAGTTTACAGTGTGAGACCATTTCCTGTCTCAGCACTTTCCGACTTCACTTTCGGAAGTACATCATTCACTTTCTCATTTCCCCAGGTGAATTGATAACGGACCATACCACGTCTCCCCAGTTATCTCTGCAAACATTTATCGAGTACGCATTATGTGTTAGTTACAGGGACATAATTTGTAAGACAGGATCCCACGTCCTGGAGTTTACTAAACAAGGATGAAAACGTGCATTAATATTTGGTAAGTGTTCTAAAAGAGGTTTGTGCCAAGTGCAGTGGTAGCAGGGAAGAGGAAATAACTAACCAAAAATGGTAGATAACTGGAGTTAAAGTAGGCATTTGCTAAAAAGTCAATGGGAGAAAAGCACAAAAAAAAATGAGTGAACACGTGTACGAAGAAATATATATATATTCTGCGTAGCAAGAGGTGTAACAAATAGTAAAACAACCCGTAGAATGGAAGAAGATATTTCCAACCACATAAAATCATCAAAAGATAAGTGGCACCTGGAATACATAGGGAACTTCTCTAAATCAGTAAGAAGATAACTAATAACCAGAACAGGTCTCCCCTCTTCCATTCTTGCCTCCCACTCTGGAATATATGAAATGAGTTAACATATGTAAGGTGCCTGGCTGAGTGCATGGAACACAGTACCACACACGTGATTGTTATTAATTTTTTATTTCATGGTTATTATTCTCAAACAAGTAACTACAATAATCATTTTAGAATGTACTGTGCTCAAAATTCTCGCATGGTTTTTCACTCAAGGTGTAAAAATCAAAGTCCTTTCATCTGCCTATAAGGTCCTGCACCAGATAGCCCCACAGCCTCTCATTTCTCAGACCTGACCTCCTATTCCCCTCTCCCTGCTTAGGTAGCTGTTCTTCTAACCCTTTTCTTGGAAAACCCTTCCGCCAGATGAGCACATGGCTCCATCTTTCACCTCCTTCAAGTCCTTGCTCAAATATTACCTTCTAATTATGGCCTGCCCAGGCCATGAGATTTAAAATCACAAATTACCATGCACTCCTTGTGTTCTTCTCTGTTTTGTTTTCTTCATAGTCTTTATCCCCTTCTAATATGCTATCTAATTATCTTACTTATATTGTTACTGTGCATCACCCTTTCTAGAATATATAAACCATATGCAGTGGAAATTTTTTCCTACCATATCTGAAATGCCTAAAATAGTACCTCATACAGAATAAGCACTCAATAAATATATTTCTAATGAATACAATAGAAAAAAAGGCAAAGGAAATGAATAGGCAATTGACAAAAATAGAAACAGGAACAGTCAATAAATATGAAAAAGATCCAACCTCCCTAATGATCAATAAAATCCAAATTAACTATAATTTTACTGCCATCTTATGAACAAAAATTAAAGACTGACAATACCAAGTGATAGCAAGGATGTGGAGCAACAGGAAAACTCATACACTGCTGGTGGGAGTAAACTGGTATAATCACTTTAGGGAATAATTTCACAATAGTTGAAGATATGAAAAACCTACAACTGAGTGTTATAGCTTGAACTATGTCCCCCCAAATTCATATGTTGAAGTCATAACCCACACTATCTCAAAAATGTGACCTTATATAAAAATACGATCATTGCAAATGTAATTAGTTAAGACGAGGTAATTAGAGTAGGCCCTTGTCTAATACGACTGATGTCCTTATTAAAAGGAAAAATTTGGACACAGAAATGTACACAGGAAGAATGGCAAACATAATGCAAAGATGAAAGCAGAGATAGGGATGATGCTTCTATGAGTCAAGGAACAACAAAGAGTGCTAGAAAATCACTAGAAGTTAGGGGACAGGCAGGGAACAAATTCTCTTAGCCCTTATAAGAAACCAGACTTCTAGCCTCCAGACTTGATCTCAGACTTCTAGCCTCCAGACAGATGAGCTAATACTTTTAATGATGTTTAAATCCCTGAGTGTATGGTATTTTGTTACAGCAGTCCTATAAACTAACACTGAGTAATAGATTGATTTGATCATATATTCCTCTCTTCTATTAGGATAGCTGTCCCTAGAAATATGAGCCATGGGGGTCATATTTTTTCAGCTTCATATTCCCATTATGGGGGTCATAATCTTTCCAGCTCAGATTACTCAAGAATTAGGCTTCACCATAACTTCCATCATAATTTCTAACTTCTAGTATTTAAATCATTCACAATGACATTTCAGGACAGAGGAAATATATAATAACACACATGCACGTAATAATGGCATTTTAAAGATACAAGCAGACATGTGTATGGATGTACACACATACAAAAATACAAACTACTGAACTGGAACAAACCATCTGATGCATCAATTTGCTCCTGCAACAGTGACATTTATATTTGGACACAATAGATTAGATTCAGGAAACGATATTAGGATTGAGAGGAAATGTCATTATTTTTCAAACCAGATAACACTGAAATAATCACTGGAACTTAGATGAATGGAAGTTTATGAGGTCACAAACTTTATTCCTTGTCCCTCCAGATTCTAGGAATTTTTGTCATTGTGGATGTGTTCTAGAATGTAGAATCATGTGATTATAAAAGATGCATGTGTTTTGGGGCGCCTGGGTGGCTCAGTTGGTTAAGCGACTGCCTTCAGCTCAGGTCATGATCCTGGAGTCCCGGGATCGAGTCCCACATCGGGCTTCCTGCTCAGCAGGGAGTCTGCTTCTCCCTCTGACCCTCTTCCCTCTTGTGCTTTCTATCTCTCATTCTCTCTCTCTCTCAAATAAATAAAAAATCTTTAAAAAAAAAAAAATAAAAGATGCATGTGTTTTCATTTGTTGTAGCTTTGGGAGTTCAGGCTTCTGCTGTACCATATTTGCTAAAGACACCACGGCTAGACAGACCTAGCTGATCCTGGCTAAGGTACTGCATAGCTAACCATTTCTATGTGGTGGGAAGATGTGTAGGTTTTCCGAGGCAATCCCTTTGCAGAGGTGCGAGGCTATGTATGGAGGGGGCTTGATAGTGGTGTCCTATGGCTGGTGACAGTAGAATTGGCTACAAAGAAATCAACCTTGGCACCTGTGATATCAGAAAGGGATTTGGGAATATCTTATTGTGAGTAGCAAGGACATCAAATGCATGATAGTCTCAGTTGGGAGAGAGTTCCCAGAGGGTAAGTGTTAGAATCCTCCTAAGGAAGGAGACAGATGTTAGGAAGTTCTGTAAACAAAATTAGAGCAGTCCAGGTGACTTAGAACTGAAATCTGGATCTCAAGTTTTACACAATATGCTGTGGAGGACCCCTAGCCTATCCAATAAAGAGGTCTTGTTTCCCCAAAATTAAGTAACTGGAAGAGTTATGATCTCCTACCTGATTCTTAATGACAGAGGCTCTTCTGTGAAGGGCTGGATCTTACCAAAGTTAGGTAAAGTGTTTCTCTAGAATCTAGGGTTCTGGAGCTATGCTCCCCAACCAGTTACTTGAAGGAGGCAAAAAAAAAAAAAAGCATCTCAATTTTCAGGGCACGAGGGGCTCATTCCTAATAATCTAGAGGAGATAAGTACTACCTTGGCCAGTTTACTCTTAGTTTTCATGGTCAGGGAGCAGGGGTAAAAATGATGTCCCCTCAGGGAGTATTCTTTCCTCTCCCAGACTTAGCAAGAAAGAAAATCATTTTTTTTCAAGTTAGTTCTTAGACCGAAATATTAAAATTTGAATTGTTTGGATATTACCCATCTCTTGTGCCTCCATTCATATCAGGCATATTCAAAACATTTTGGATTTTTTTCCAGGTTTTTCTATCTATGCTATGAATATTTGTAAAAAGTGTCCATAACCAGATAATTTTCGATATGTTTTCTATATGGTGGTTTTTAGAACCTCACTCTAAATTGGGGTAGAACTTAGATGAAAGCCTTTACCAAGTTTTATCCTAGTGCCTGTCAGCTTCCATGTATTTGAGTTACCTGATATGTGAAAATGGGGATATCCAACACTGCCACCCAGATTTGGGGTAAGTTTAACATTGAGGTTAAACACAGGTATCTCTATTGAATAACAGAACCTATGGAAGGATCGAGCAATAAAGATTTCTAGGGGCGTGTGCGTGGCTCAGTTGGTTAAGCATCTGCCTTCGGCTCAGGGTCCTGGGATTGAGCCCTGTCAGACTCCCTGCTCAATGGGGAGTCTACTTCTCCCTCTGCCCCTGTCCCTGCTCTTTCTATCTCTCCCCCTCCCCCATCTCCCTCAAATAAATAAATAAGAATTTCATTGTCAACCCAGCTTTAATTCCCAAGAGCTCCATTATTTGCAATATATAATATTATGCAATTTATAATATGTAATATAAAATGTAGTAAAAAATAGTCTCAGGGATCTTCTTATACATTCAGGCAAATTGCCTCTCTCCATTACAAGGTAATCCTGTAATATAGACGCAAAATATCCCAAACTGCCTCTTTGTTTTCCATAGAGAGCCAGTTATGACTTCATAAGCCATGCAGTCAGTTCTTCAGGAGGTGGTGATAAAGAGACAGATGTAAATGGCAATCTTACACCATTGAGGGAATGAACCCCCCCTTTTTTTAAGATTTTCTGGCAATTTCACTTGGTAAAAAACATAATCATCAGTACAA